CTCAGTAAACATCTGGCATCAGTTATCATGGTCTGCTGGTCCCCTCTGCAGACTGGCTCACCAGCAATCTGTTCCTTACTCCCTCGACTGCACCACGCTGGCCCACTTGCGCTCCCCGAATCGTGCCAAGCTCATTCTATCTCGGAGCTTCTGCACTGGCTGTTCCTTCTTTCCAGAATGTTCCTTCCCCAGAGATTCACATGGCTTGCTTTTGTCAGGCCTCTACCCAAACACCATGCCCTCAGCAAGCCCTTTCCTGACAAGGGACTCTACACTTTATCCCTTTACCCTACTTTGTCTCAAATCAATTTAATGTAGATGTTATATATAAACCACCCCATGCACACATTTTAAGTGTACAGTTTGATTCCTAAAAATTTGAAAACTGTATTCACCACTAGCCATGACCTAGAACACTGCCACCCCCAAAAGCTCTACTGTGTCCAGGCCAGCCTCACCCCAGCCCCAGGCAACCCCCAACCTGATCTCAGCAACTAGAGATGAGCTGTGTCCTCCCTAGAGTTTCATGGACAGGGAATCCTGTACTTGTCTGTCTGGCCTTTTTCACTCGGCAGTGTCACACAGATTCGGCCATGTGGTCATGTGTATCAGTGGCTTGTTCCTCTTATTACTGAGCGGGTCTCCAGTTGTCTGGATGTACTGTTATTCCTGTGTGCATCCACTTGCTGGTGGCCACTTGGGTTGTCTTGGCTTTGCTTTCTGTTTTAGTCACAGCCTTCATTGCTCCCTGAGACTCTGTTCCCTGGTGGCCACGTCAGCCNAAAGAACTTCTCTGTTGGCCTCATGGATTTCTCTGAGGGGTTCCTTGATTCTTGAAAGATCTATATAAACCAATCTGAAATTCAAGTGGCAGCTCTTCTTTGGTGGCCACAACTTCAGAATGGCACAAAATCAGATAGGATTTGGTATTGACCATAGGATTGAAATCTATCCTTATTCCCTCTGCTAAGGCAGGATTGGCCCTGTCAGGGCAGCCAAATGCTCCGAGGGATTTGGGTTGGCACACTGGCGCCCGTGGGTGGAGTCTGGCCCACTGCCTGTTTTTATAAATAAAGTTTTACTGGAGCACAGCCACGTTCATCTGTTTACATGTTGTCTGTGGCAGCTAAAATGACAGAGTCGAGTATGTGCAACAGAGACAGTTTGGCTTAGAGAGCCTAAATATTTGCTATCTGTGCCTTTACTGAAAAAGTTGGCCAACCCCTGATCTAAACGAATGTCATAAACTTTGTATAATGAAAGTCACTGGAGGAGTCGTCCACAGTCAGGGAAGATTTCCAAGATCAGGTTTTGTACCAATGGGGGGAAAATGTAAAAGGATAAAAACCAGCTCACAAAAGGAAGAAACTGGCCACACATTTAGAACGAGTTTGAGACGTTGAGGTAGAAAAATAATAATAATAATCTTTAGCTTAAGAAGCGATGAGAAATGATATCTTTTGTATTACCTTGTGTTTGAGCTCAAAAGGCTTGACCCATACACAGCAGCACACACCACACACAACATGTGGCTTAGCTGGAGTCTATGAGGACTCAGTGAAATGGCTAATAACAAAACAACTGCACATTTGTAGAGTATTGACTATGTGCCAGCCNTACTACACATTACATTCCCATGACTAATTTATTTTATACCTGGAAGTTTGTACTTCTTAATCCCCTTCACCTTTTTCACCCATACTCCACCCTTCTTCCTTCTAGGAATCACCAGTTTGTTCTTCATGTCTGTTAGTCTGTTTCTATTGTTTTGTTTGTTTTTGTTTTTACATTCCACTTAAAGTGAAATCATACCATATTTGTCTTTCTCTTTCTGACTTATGTAACTTAGTGTAATACCCTCTAATTTCATCCATGTTGCCAAAAATGGCAAGATTTCATTCTTTTTTATGGCTAAGTAGTATTCCATTACATTATATATATATATATATATACACACACACACATATATATATATACACACACACATACACATGTGTATATATATATACACACGTATATCTATATATCTATATATATACACACATATGCATATACATGTATATATACCACATGTTTTTATTCCATTCATCTATTGATGGACACTTAGGTTGCTTCCATATCATAGCTATTATAAATAATGCTACAATGAACATAGAGTGGTATCTTTTCAAGTTAGTGTTTTTGTTGTCTCAGATAAATACCTGGATCATATGGTAGCTATATTTCTAATTTTTTGAGGAACCTCTATTCTGTTTTCCATAATAGCTGCACCAGTTTACATTTTCACCAACAGTGTGCAAGTGTTCCCTTTTCTCTACATCCTCGCCAACACTTGTTATTTATCTTTTTGATAATAGCCATTCTGACAGGTGTGAGTGATATATCATCGCAGTTTTGATTTGCATTTCACTGATGATGAATGGTGTTGAGCACCTTTTCCTGTACCTGTGGCCCATCTGTATGTCCTCTTTGGAGAAATGTCTTTTCAGGTCCTCTGCCCATATTTTAATTGCATTGCTTTATTTGATGTTTTGTTTTTTGATGTATGAGTTCTTTATATATTTTGGATATTAACCCCCTTTTCATTGATATCATTTGCAAATATCTTCTCCCATTCAATAAGGTGCCTTTTCATTTTGTTGATGATTTCCTTCAGTACAACCCTCAGTCTTAACCACTCTGCTGTACCACCTTCCCTTAGTAAATGATCAGTAAATGGTAACTGGTAACATGGGTCCATAATTCCTCATCCGAAACTCATGGGGAGTGAGATGCATTTTGGAATTCAGAATTTTAGGAACTACAGAAAAGTTATCCTTGGCACATACTCTGTGTTATGCAACACCCATGGAGACTGGAGCAATAGTTCATCTCTCTCTCTCAAACACACACATGCACACATGGTGGGGGGCGGGCAGGAGAAGGAAGGAGACAGCAACAGTGAAGACGAAATCAAAGCTTTGGGTTTGAAAGCTTTTTGGATTACAGAGCTGCAGAAAAGAGATGGTGACCTCTAGTAATAAAACTATTAGCAATAGTTATAAGCATAATAAATGATGACTTATTAGTACAACTTTTGTGACTCCTGCTTCACTGGATGAGCTCCCAGCCAAATGTACTGCAAAGTGTTTCTCAGGTAGCGAACGGGCTGGGAGGGGAAGGTGCGAGCCCTGGGACCAGGTCTGCACCCTTTTTCACACGTGCCAGTCTCTCTCCTTTTCCTAGTATGACTTCATGGAGCGTCTGGACGGGAAGGAGAAGTGGAGTGTGGTTGAGTCCCCCCGGGAACGCCGGAGCATACAGACCCTGGTTCAAAACGAGGCCGTGTTCGTGCAGTACCTGGACGTGGGCCTCTGGCACCTGGCCTTCTACAATGATGGCAAGGACAAAGAGCTGGTCTCCTTCAGCACCGTTGTCTTAGGTAGGTGTGGGACCTGCAGGATGATGGGTCACCAAGGGATGGGTGGAGGCGCTGTGGGCTTCTCTGTGGAGGGTGCACCTTCCAAGGTCATTTCTACTGTGTAGAAGACCACACCGGGAGCCGTAATTTAGGCCTCCTAGGATCGCCCACCTAAAATGAGCCCTGAGGAAAGGACGGAGGTTGCTTAAATCATGACAGAGCCACTGTGAGTCCGAAGAATTCGGTTGTGGAAAAGACTCAGGTCACACCCTACCTGGCTCGAGTCCTGGCCACACCACCTGAGGAAATCACTGGACTTTTAGGAGCCTTCGTTTCCTTGTGGTAAAGCAGAACTACCTGGTGCCACCTCACAGGGCTATTGTGAGGAGTAAATGAAATAAAGTGTATACATCTTTAAACAGGTAGCGCAGCCAGTAAATTCCGACCATTCACATCAGCTCAGAATTTCTCTTAAAAATTGGGAAAAGCTCAAAATAAAAAGAGTTTTAAAAAAAGAAAAGAAAAGAAAGAAAGAAAACAGAAAAATAAATCAGGAAAAAAATATAAATGTAAGGAAAAAAATCCTAACTTTGTTTCCAAGTAGGTAAATCTCAACATGCTTTAATTGAGCATGTGTCATTTTTGGCATGTTTTAGCCCTGCTTTTTATTAAATATCAAAGGAAAAGCTAAGGTTTTATGCAAAATTTCCTCTTATATGTGTATGCAAACCCCTAAAAGGGACATTAGTTTGAGAAGATTGCGTGGAGTTTTCTAATGCAAACCATAAGAATTTTAACAAGCAAATCAGTTACAGGTATTTTAACATTATCTTGTCATTAGGTTTTAATCTTCTTACTAATGAGCATAACTTATC